TCCCCCGCGCACTTCTCCGCCCAGCCGGGCTCCTGCCACGCTCCAGCCGTGGCTGTGGGTGCTGCTCTGCTTGGCTCAGGACCACGGGACGTGGCTCAGGACCATGGGACGTGGCTCAGGACCATGTCAGGTGGCTCAGGACCATGTCACACTGCCAGGCACCACCTCGCAGAGCACAGGACCAGCCTTCGTGCTGCTCCCCAGTGGCTGGTACAGAGCCCTGCGTGTCACCAGGCTGGGCAGCTGCTGTGAAACCCGTGATGGGCTTAACCCACTCCCTGCCAGGCTCTTGCTGCTTCAAAAGCTACCTCTGGTGGTGTCTTCTGGAGCACTTTTTGTGCTCAGGGCCCCTGCCAGCTGGTGGGAGTTCTTAAAAATCTGACAGGCCGGTCAGATGGGGTGGCTGTGCAAAAGGGTAGCCCAGAATCTCTTGGGGGCTGATGCCAGCAGCTGTGGGCTGGGGAGGTTCAGAGCCTTCCCAGATCCTATCAAGAAGGGGCATCTTTTGGCAGGGACACCCAGACTGCCCAGTGGGGGTGCAGGGGAGATGGTGGCAGTGTCAGTGTCTGGTGACAGTGTCTCGTTAGGGCTGTCAGTGAGGAGGCTCCTGGGAGGATGTTTCCCAGTTCCAGAGACAGGGAGAGAATCTTTCTGCTGCTGGGGAGAAACTAGGCCCTGCTTCTGCCCCCAGGACCCCCCACCTGTGCTCTCTGGGCTGATCTGGGAGGATGTTTTTCAGTGGGGGCAAAACAAGCTCCTGGATTAAACTGCTCTGGTGGAGATGAGGCAGATTTTACTGGAGCAGGACCCAGTGCAGCCCGTGCTGGTGGTGAGGGCAGGGTGGCTGCGGGACCTCCTGGTGCTCCTGCTGCCAGCCCTACAGCAGTTCTGTCTGGCCTTAACCCCCTGGGGCACCCCATCCCTGCTCCCATGGCACCCTGTGCTGCTTCCATGGCACCCCATACTGCTTCCATGGCACCCTATACTGCTTCCATGGCACCCCATCCCTGCTCCCATGGCACCCTGTGCTGCTTTCATAGCACCTCATACTGCTTTCATAGCACCTCATACTGCTTCCATAGCACCCCATCCCTGCTCCCATGGCTCTGCCTCTCCAGCTGCCCATGGAGGTTGGTCCAAAGCTGCTGGGGACCCTCAGGGGAGCTGGGCATGGGGCTGGCCTACAGCACGTGCAGGTTTTTTGGGCCGTTGCCATCCCCTGCCCACCTTCTGGAAGGACTTTAGTTGGGCTGTGCTTTTCACCTAGTCTGATGAAACCCTCCAGGGTTTCTGGAGCAGGACACTGACGTACAATTCCCCTGTGGATCCCACCAAACTGCCAAGAACTGGAGATACCTGCACCCAGTGGCCTCTGCAGCAGGGCCACAGTGTCCATCACAGACACACAGAACCAGACTGGTTTGGGTCCTCCCACTAGACCAGGTTGCTCCAAGCTCCATCCAGCTGGGCCTTGGACCCTTCCAGGGCTGGGGCAGCCACAGCTTCTCTGGGCAACCTGAGTCAGTGTCAAGGTACTTGTGTTTTTTTCTCTCCTCCAGGAGCCTCCCAGAGGGGCTCATTTTATTGGTCCCTTTTAACCCTGTGGTGCTCAGTGTCCCTCCCTGCTCCCTCCTTTCCCTGCTGGGAACTGCAAGGTGGTTGTTTTAAGACCACTTGGTGGCCAGGAGCACTGGGACTGCCTTTTGTCCCCGAGCTCGTGGAGCCTCCCTGGACAATGGCAGGAAACAGGTCGGGCTGCGCGTCGCCCTGGCCAGCCCACCCGGCGGGGAGGCTGCTCTGCAGGGCCTGCATTGTTTGGGGGCCATAAACTCCGGAAACCCGGGCGCAGAATGGAAGGAAGTGTCCAAAGCCCAGAGCCTGGGGCCGCGGGGCTGCCGGGCGGGTTCCCACGGCACAGCCACATGGCAGCCCCAGCTGGGCCTGGCGGGGGGTCCAGCTGGATCGTGGAATCCCAGACTGGTTTGGGTTGGAAGGACCTTAAAGATCACCCAGTCCCAACCCCCCTGCATGGGCAGGGACACCTCCCACCAGCCCAGGCTGCTCCAAGCCCCATCCAACCTGCCCTTCAACACTGCCAGGGATGGGGCAGCCACAGCTTCCCTGGGCCCCTGGATGCTGGGCCAGCTGTGAGCAGCTTCCAGTCCCATTCAGGAATGGATGAATTACTACAGCTCTCTGAGATATGGGGGTCCCAGGGGTCCCCATGCCTGGCCCTAGGCTGCATGGCTCTGGGCTGGCCCCAGGTCTCAGTGCCTTCAAGGTCCACTTCATTTGTCCATGTTGCTCCAGGGTGATGGTCACCCTCTGGGTGCTCCTCAGACTTGAAAGCTGCTGTGATATGATTCCATTATGGCTGAACTGCTCTGATTTTTCCTGCTTGGGGACTCCTATGAGACCTCTGATTGATTTTGGGTGCCCAGCCGGGTTCTGGGGGTGCAAGGTTCTCTGCAGGTGTGGAATGGGTCCTTGTGCCCACCTGAGACTGCAGGAATAGAAGCATCAGGGATGGGGATGTGAGTGTCCTCTCCATGGGAGGTCCCACTGTCAGTGTCTTGAACCTGGAGGGGTAGCTGAGCCACCAGCCATGGTGTCCTTAGCTGCTCCAGGGATACCATGGGCTGGAGGTGGCACGGGACGGGTGGCAGGAGGCCAGAGCTTGTCCTGCTTCACTGCCACAGGGACTGTGGGGAGGGAGCCCTGTGGAGCTCATGGCTCTGGGCTGTGTGGGCGCAGGGGCTGCGGGGGGTGCGCGCTGGTTGGTGACACTTGGAGTCATGATGGTACAATGACAGTGTTTCTCTGCCCCCCAGCTGAGCGGAGCCGACGCCGAATGCAGCTGTGACGAAGGGGACGAGACCTCCCTCAAGAAGCGGAGCAGGAGCCTGTAAGTGTCACATCCTGGTGGCATCGGAGTGTGCCAGGGCTGTTTGCCATGGCCAGACACCTCAGCTGAGCCCCACTGCTCCAGGCAGCACTTGGGGCTCCGTGTCATGTTCCCCCAAGCTTTGCTGGGCAGGAAGCAGCACAGACAGATGTGAAGCCGAGGTCCCAGTTCTGGTGGGGGGGTTATGGTTTTTGGGGAAGGGGGGGGGACATGGCTTGGAGCAGCCCCTGGGTTCCTTGCTCTGACAGGGGCGGGGGAGGAGCGGGTGCGGTGGGGGGAG